AGTTTTTTTATTCCGCCGATGCTCTGAGAAGGGAGGGGGGGGGGGGGGGGGGGGGGAGCTGTTGTGAAACTCAAGAGCACTGCCCTCCATCAGGGGGAGACTGGTTCTTGAGGCTCTCTGGGGGATATCGATGGGGTCTTTTCTCTGTCATCAAACTGTCATTACAAAAACGGCGATACTGCATAATTCAGTTTTTTTATTTTGCATGTAACATGAAAAGACAGGTGAAATAAAGTTTGACACAAGTTCAGATTTGCCCCGGCTTTCAGAGCTCTTCTCCCCAACCACTGCTTCGGAAATGACATTGTTAAAAGCCATCGTCCACCAGTCTTCATTACATGTGTTTACTTTTGGGTTATGGGTAAAATTATATGTAACCCAAGACATCCACAATCCATTGCCTGGTGAAATGAGCGCTCCACCGCACTTTTAGATAAGATGAAGAATGCCCCTCTCAGCCCACACGGCCCTGCCAGCCTGACCTCAAGTCAGCTAATGTTGTCAGATGGAGTCTGAGCGGTGAGAGGTTCGGTATCCAAATATCCCTCCAAATGCTTTCTTCAAACGCATTAAGGCACCATGACAGTGTGCTTGCGAGTTTTAGCTACAACTTTTGCTGACCGTTTTTTGAACGGGGCAGCCATTGGTTTCCATTCATTTCTGATGTACACTGTGATCAATTACACACTTCAGTGTAATATAATGCATTTCACGAGGTATAAAAAGGACGTAACTTTGACAAAAATGAACGCAGACAAACAGCTTAAGCAAGTTTCACGAGTTATATCATATAATACAACAGTGCTGCTTTACAAAGTGACTAGCTGTGATGTAAAGTATATAATAAGTAAATATTGTGTAGTTTGTGTATACAGCATGTCATACAGTACTAACTGAAATTTAGAAAAAGTAAGGACAAGTAATTCTATATATTTATTATTCAAGGGAATAGTAAACCATAAAACAAACAAACAGCGATTTGGATTGGAGGGAAATCATTTAAACAGAACATTTTCGTTGTATAATGTATCCGAGATGTATGGCTTATAAGTCAAATATGTCAGCATGTGAAATAATTTAAACTCCAAATCCCACAAATCTAGCGATAAAGAAGAACGACACAAGAGACACGAGGTCTTTCCTCGTTTACTTCTGCCTCGTGATACAATTAGCTCCTTCAGCCAAAGTAAAGACAAAATGGATATGAACTCAGAGGAATGTTCAAGCCCTCCTTGAAATGTGAAACCAACTTATAAAGAAATCAAGGAGTAAACTCGCACAAGCAGAAAGTGTTCTGCGCTGGACTCTGGTAAAAGTCAAAGCTAATTTATTCCCTCCAACGACAACTGCTGGCTTATAAAACAAACGTGGATGAAAACAGGTCAGAGTCGCTCTTTACACTCAGCTGAGAGCAGGACTGATGTCACAGGAAGCAAGCCTTAGAAAGTCACCTCTAGAGGTTTGTAAAGTAACTAAAGGACAGAATCGCTTACATTTGTCAATTAACTACAGAATCACTTAAATGATCAGCTAATAAAGAGCTCGTCTCTGGTATTCAAGAAAGTAAATGTACATCTGCATTCATGTGTCTACACGCCTCTTAACATACATATTTGATATAAATGTTAGAAAATGTACAGAATTTGAATTTACATAAATGAACCATGAAATATATCTACACACAACTTTTTAAAATCTCCTTTTTTTGTGACAATCCAAACTTTCAATCGTGTTTTTATACAAGTTCCACTGATATGATAGAATTGAGTTTCTGTGTAGCAGTGTCAGTTGAGATGATTGTATTTTTGTCTAGTTTCTGTTTAAATGTTAAACAACATTTTCTTTTTGCTACTGGATTCAAATAATTAAATAAAAACAGTTGTTACTTTCACCCTTTATTGCGCCTGTACAGTAATAGGTACTTTATGTGTTTGTACTTCTGTTGATAAATGTTATTTTAAATAATTTCAAAGCTGAAACAAAGTGGTCATAGAGGCTTCAGTTCTAAATCTGTTGTGTATTTTAAAATGCAATCACACAAATAAACCTTTTAATGTCAGTGGTCATTTAAAAATGTGATGATGTGTGCACTCACCTCGCCTTTCCTGATTTTTGCAAAGCAGTTCTTTTAGTGGTTATACGAGAAAATTCTTCTTTTTATGATCATTTCATCGTTAAAATTAGCTCTAGCCTTGTGTCACAGCATCTGGATTTAGTTCTGGTTTCGGTCACAGGTGACTTGTACAACAACTCGACATGAACCCCAATGACTTCAGTGGAGTGACAGAGATGTTTCGTCAGCGACTCCTGAAAAACAAATAGAAAAGACAAACAACACAAAATGAAATCAAACTTTTTCAAGCACGGAATGTGCTGCTTTCACTTTTTTTAGTCACTCGGCTTTGTGACCTGAATGTCCCGCGGCACGACACCAAGCCCCAAAAATGTGGTGGAAAATAAACTCTGGCCTTTTTTTTTTGTGTGTGTGTGTGTGTGTGTGTGTGTGTGTGTGTGTGTGTGTGTGTCGTGTCTACAGCCAACGTTTTGAAGACACTTCAATAGATTGAATTAGGCTTTGGGCATCATGATGTCATGTCTCTGCCTTCTGAAGCGGCCTCTCTGGTCCTGGCTCGGGTTGTGTTGGACTGCGATCAGTCACATTGAGACTGAAAAATGAATGATAATTAGCTCGGTTCAGTCATATTTTTGACCAAGACGATTGCCGTACGTAATGTCACAACAAACTGGCAGCACATGATTTTTCTGCTGAAAGTGAGGGTGAGGATCTTTCCAGGTGGCTCACATGACACATTGGCTGCAGAATTTAGAGGATTAGCGTAGACTGATGGGCCTAAAGGTGACCGAGCCCTCCAACGTCACAAAACCACGCAGCGACTATTGTGGCGGGAATTTCCAGCCGAAAAGACACACGCAGCAGACCACAGTGAACTTTTCACATTTTCTCCTCAGCGTGAGCCAGCGTAGCGAGGTCATCTTAGAAGCCCAAATAAGACTCCCGCCCCCTGCTACTTAAGAGCACCTCTGTTTATTGTTAATTTTTTCTCCCGTGGCACCGTGAAGCTCCAGGTGACTGCCACTGACCCCAGAGCGAACCAAAGCACACGCATGGTGTGCATTGCAGGTGGCGAGGCTCGTGGGTGGAGATGTGGATGGCGGGAGATGGGCCTTAGGTTCCCGGTAACACGATTCCTCCAATAAGAAGAAATAGAAGAACCTTGCTCTTTCTGTCCTCTCGTGTGTGTGTGTGTGTGTGCGTGTGTGTGTGCGTGTGTGCGTGCGCGTGCTCCTGAGGGCCGCTGGGTTCAATGAAACTCTGCTTTCCTGCATGAGGAAGATTTTTGGTCTTTAATTCAAGCAACAAAAAGGTCAACACCTCATTTACAGGACTTTCATAATGTCAATTCAAACCTTAATTTGACGTGATTCATACTGTAATTTTTTTTTTACAAAGGATAAATTGCCAAAATTTAGAGAAATAACTCTGTAACTGTTCACCGAGCAAAAGGGCAGTGAATTGTTTAATTTAGCAGCATGGTTACGGTTAAAGCTTTTGTTGCACAACCGCAAAGAAACGACTTGTTGTATACACGAGTTTACTCCTGTCCTCACATCACAGTGGGAAAGATGAGCCTGGTGCAGCTAGTAACTGTCTCCATCCTAAAGCCTTCTCCTCTGCCTCTTCACAGCCTCAGTGACCAGATGCTGAAGATGTGAAATCATTTAGTTAACAACCGCTCCCTTCAAGAATAGTAACAGTTGTTGTTGCTGGAAATTAATGTGTCAAGACCAACCGATAAGAGCTTTTATACGTATGTATATATGTATGTATGTATGTATGTATGTATATATGTATGTATGTATATGTGTATGTATGTATGTATATATATATGTATGTAT